TCGGCCTTCAGCCAGGCTCTAGAGACACAAGATTGCCCAGGCACCATCCTTATGGCCCACAGAAGTTCTCATGGGCTTTTCTGAATCTAAAACTGCAACTCTCCTCTTCCAGACACCTGCTTCCTTCATATTTCCCTGCTCTCATGTTCTCTACCTAGCATAATTTCTCTAGGATCAACTTGCAATTACCATGACTGCATTGGAGAATTTTTTACATGAACAAGATTGTTAATTAAGCCCTGGCTGGTGTGGCTCAGTGTATTGAGTGCCGGCCTGTGAACCAAAGGGTCGCCAGTTCGATTCCCAGTCAGGGCACATGCCTGGGTTGCAGGCCAGGTCCCCAGGCCAGGTTGTAGGGGGTGCACTAGAAGCAACCACACACTGATGTTTCTCTCCCTCTTTCTCCCTCCCATCCCCTGTCTAAAAATAAATAAATAAAATATTTTTTTAAAAAGATAGTTAAGAAGTCCATTAGAACAAAAAGAGAAGAAACCGGCATGAGGAGATTTGTTTCTGTCTAAAATAGAAGTCTTTTTTTTTTTTAACATAGGAGACTATGTTAGCTTTGTTTCTATATTTCAAGGATTAATGAATGGTAGCTTTAAAATTATTTAGATGGGTAAAATTGTCAGTGGCCCCAATTATTGTCTCAACCAGCTGTAACCTCAATATCTATCTTTCGTCTATCTCTATCTTTCTCATGTTTGTCAAAATGGGTTTTCTATATACATTCTTCCCTGTCCTTCAAAAAGGGACATCATTAGCCTTTTACAATAATAATTTCATATTTGTCTGAAGCTGGATCCCTGTTAATTTTTTTTGTTCCTCTCCCTCTATACCCTTACAGAACTTTAAAGATTAACCAACCAATCACAAAAACATTCTGCTGTTATGTGTACATATAAATACCTAGTCCAGATAAACTGTCAAAAATGTGTTAAAGAGGAAAAGAAAATGTTATTAAATGATGTTTCTTCTGGACACTGAAAAGTGTATTTACATAATAGATTTTACTATTCTAGTTATGAGAAAAGAAGAAAAGAGCTTAATCCCAAGTAAAATCTTTCAATATGCTGAGAATCTTTAAGAACTAGTTTACCATTTAAAAATAATGTCAATGCAATATTTTGGTTTGTACAAAATCAAGGTTAAGTTATTTAAACTTAATAACTTAATGTCTGAATTTCCCATACTGGTTTTATGAGTTAGGTCAGTCACCATTTTTTCCATAACTTCATGTATGTGTATGAACATGTATATAAATATATATGAACAAATGAAATAATAACATGTCTTTTTTAAAGAGTTTAACTTTATGCAATTCTAAAATTGCTACAAATCACAAGGATTTAACATGTTAGCTAAAATTGAAATTTCCAAATCCAAATGGTAAATTAATTTTTAAAGACTCAGTCATATCAAAAACTCTTTATCTTTGAATTAAGCTCTTGTCTTGTTTTCTAATAACTAGAGTAACTTTAAGGCCTTATATAAGTGAGTGAGTTAATGAGTAAGTAATCTCTGAATGCCTAGACAGTTTCTAAGTAAGAGAGAAGATACAAAACACTGTCATTGAGTGTAATTTTTTATTCTTCTTAGAATGGCACTATCCTTGTTATCCATAAATTCAGGAAAATGGAGAGAACTAATGGCATTCTAAAACCCAAATTATCAAAGCTCTCAGAAACCCCTTCAACGTCCATGGCCTAAAGTATTTTCCTTGATGACAACAAGATCTGTTCCCTATAGTATCCACAACTTCTCTCCTTCTGAGTTAATAATGAGTTATCTGACACATTTGGAAAGTACCTCCAATCCTAGAGTCTACCCCTACTATAAGCTAATATGACTAACTACCAGAGAGGACTCATACAATATCTTCAGCTTTATCATCAACATGTACAAGCTTCATTTTTAAAACACTGACCTAAGCTGCTTCTGTATGATCTCAAATCTTAAGGCTTGGTTTCCTGAAAGGACATAAAAAAAAAAAACTACCCTTGAGCCTCCATGGAAAAGACATTAGGTACTGTTAGCAACTGACACAACAATAAAACTCCAAGGTACTGATACTGAAGTTCATATTTCCCAGCTTAAAAGATGTACATCACTTTATCCTGACTCCTAAACAGCCATTCCATTAAGACACTAAGCAGGATTCTCAGGAATCCTCCCAAAATGGCTGACTGCAGAAGTGGACAGCTTCTGCCCAAGGTTAATTTTCTGATTCTTCAGCAGCCTTTTTCTTTCTCTACTTTATCACTCATTTTGCCTATCATTGTACTTTACACTCTCCAGTAACTGACTAAAAGGTTTTTCAATATATTCTGTGACTTTTGACCCTCTATGATTTTCTCCCACTTAAGAGAAAACAAAGTCTGATTGGGTCCAATAGGTTTTTCTGAGATTATAGCTACTGCTCTGAATTTAACTGATAATAAAAATTAATTAGTTTTCCTTTAAACACTTTAGAACAGCAATCTTTAACCTTTTTCATCTCATGGCACACATAAACTAATTACTAAAATTCTGCAACACACCAAAAAATATATTTTTTGCCAATCTGACAAAAAATATAGGTATAATTTTGATTCATTCACACCAGACAGCTATTGTGTTGGCTATTGCCATTTTTTAAATTTGACAATCTAAGGAAAAAGAGGTCAGTGCCCCTGACTAAATACTCAGGTGTTGCATGTTTTAAAAATTCTTGCAGCACACCAGTTGAAAATCGCTGCTCTAGAAGGTACAGTTCCTTTTATAGGCCCCTTCTGGTTAAGTGTCCCTCACATTGTTAATCCCAAACTTTGGTCATTTTGAAATTAACCTCACATCAAAAAATGCTTCTACTGGGGTCATTACAACCTTATCAACAAAGCCTAGTCCATAGCCCTGGCCAGTGTGGCTCAGTGGATTGAGTGCCAGCCTGAGAACCAAAGGGTCACCAGTTTGATACCCAGTCGGCATATGCCTGGGTTGCAGGCCAGGTCCCCAGTAGGGGGCATGTGAGAGGCAACTGATCAATTTATCTCTCACATGATGTTTCCCTCTCTTTCTCCCTCCCCCCTCTTTAAAAATAAATAAATAAATAACGTAGTCCATAAAGAATGAAAACTAATATTGGGGTTACGCCTGTCTACAATTGTTTGTTCTCTCCAGAGACACTCCTTATGAGAACTGTTGGACCCCACTCATGATATCTTGCCCATTTCAAGGGACATATAATTGGCTCATATAATATAATATTTATACATCTAGTAGAGCCTATGCCCCATTAGGATACCATTTCTTATGTGGACCTCAGACTTACAACCACCTGCAACACACTAACTTTTCCAGTATATTTGAGGTAATTGTTAGAGACTTTCAGATAACTTAAAACTAAGCCTCTCCTGTGAAACCTGTTTTCCTGAAAAGAAGAGGCAAGCACGGGTGAATTTTGGTAACTCCCAGGAAAGACAGCTGACTTTTCATCCATACTCCATGAGCAGCAGTTTCCACAATGGTGAAAAAGGTGGTCTAAAATCTGTTTCTGACACTTGGAGATCACAGTCCCACTCTTTGTCCCACCCAAGAAAGTATGCTTCAAGTTCTTATTTTTCCACTAATGGTTTGGGCAATTTACCAGATTTTTCCTAGCTGGATGTGTAGCTTTGGAAGTCTCTTCACTTTGTAGGCTTGTGTTTCCTCATCTGTAAGTGGAGACATGAGAGAGTGGTTGTCTTAAGTACCTCCCAGGGTGAAAGGGAACTACTTGAAGCTGTAAGTGCCAGTTATTCTAAGTTACTAACCTAAACTTTGAGCTGAGATTGCTCCAACCATCACTTGCCTGCCTAAAGCCCTGTGCCTTTGTATGTTGGTTTCTGTCCCTTCTTCCTTGGTGAATTAAAGGGAATTATAATGATAGTGATTGTACTAAGGGGTTTCAGGATAGTGCAGATGGCAAGGAGTAGAGCACTAGACTGAGAGAGATAAATAATGAGGAATGCTGACCTTGGATTCAATACAGTCAATAAAATGCACAAATCTCAAATGTACTACTGGATGATGTTTGAGAGGACATACACCTATGCAACGCAAAGCTCCATCAGGATACAGAACCACTCCATCATCCCAGAAAATTCCCTAAGCTCCCCTTCACAGTTAATCCCTGGCTCCCATTCCCCAGGGGCAACTACCATTCTGTTTACATCCTTCTGTTAATTTTTTAAAAGGGTTTCAACTTGTGGGTTATTTAGAGAAAGTGTGGTTAGTGAAGTAGCAGGACTAGAACTACATTGAGGCTCTCCATGGAGAAAGGGAAGCTGAGGGACACTTACGATAGTTTATTCTTCATGAATTTTATTTTTTAAAAATTTTATTTATTTTTAGAGAGAGGGGAAGGGAGGGAGAAATAGAGAGAAATATCATGTGCAAGTGATACATGGATCAGTTGCCTCTCACACGCCCCCAAATGGGGACCTGGCCCAGAACCCAGGCATGTGCCCTGACTGCGAATCCAACGGGCTGTCTTTAAGTTGGCAGGCCAGCGCTCAACCCACTGAACCACGCCAGCCAGGGGCATTTTGCCTCATTTTTAAATCAAATCAAATCAAGCCTTTCCTCTTCCCCACCAGCCACCAGAGTCTTCTTCACTAGGAAGAGAGGATTTGTTTAACTGCTTTGTTCTTTCCTTATTGATTGACCTGTTTGTTTGATCTGACCATCCACCCAATCTCTGTTAGGCGTTTTTTAACAGCTTTCTGTCCCAGAGAGAAACTTTAGCTATCCGTCCAAACTCCAAAGCCTAGGTTCATTCCACCCCATCTCCCTGCCCCGGAGGACAGCGTTGGGACTTGCAAGTCCCATCCCCGCCAACACACACGCACACCCCTCCCCCCAGTCGCAGTGCCCCCACCCCTGCCCACGCCCCCTCCAGCTCCACTGCCTGACCTTTGAGCCACCTAGAGGTAAGTCACCAGCCCGGCCTCCCTGCCCCCTCACTAGAGAAGAAAGGTTAGGCGACGCTCAGTCTGGTCTTCTGACTAGGGCGGCGGGAAGGACACCGGCAGCCCTCAGCCTCCCCTTCGCCTTCCCCGGAGACCTGCGCTGGGCACCAGGTGGGCTCTACCCTCAGCCTCCCAGGGCCTCGCTGTCACCTGAGGCCGTATCGGAGCTACCAGAAAGCGCGTAGGGGCCCCTTGCCCCGCACAGGTGCCCGGGTGTAGCGGGAGCAGCGTCCCCACCTCCTACCCCCGCCCTGCCCCACCACCTGTTTTCAGTCATGACCCCCTCCTTTCTCATGCTCTCCGAAGCCCAGGCAGAAAGGGGGCATTTGCCAGCCCCTGGCTTGCAGGACGAGTGAGTGTTAGGTTAAAAGCTGCTATTGCGAAAGCCCCGTGTCTGATCTTGGGCTTTATAGCATGAAGGCCTTTGGGAGTCTGTGCCAATTTTTAACAGTCAATGAAGATTGCAAATGCTGTGACGCCGGCATTTGGCATCTGAGGCCCTTTAGAGCTGTGTGTTTCTTATTTTAAAATGCGGTTTATTGAAGGAAATATTAAAGATCATTTTCCTCCCCACACCCTCATTAATTTGCTTATACATGTGTGGGACCACTTACTTCAAATCAGATAGATACCAGGGAGAAGGATGAAGACTCGGGAGATTTTAGTAGTCATCAGGGCAGAGTTTGGGAAAGAGAAGGCTCTTGGTGTTGCCTGTTCTTTCCTCTCCCACATGGGCTTTTTAGATCATGCTTTTGCTCGTTTGATAATTTTTTCTTTTTCATCTCCCTGTTTGTTGGTCAGAGCCTCTGGCCTTAAAGTCCCAGCATAGAATGTTCTTGCCTACAGAGTTCAAGACTTCTTGCCAAACTGGCACAGTGCCTCCCTAGTCAGCAAATAGCTGAGGGGCTGTCAGTTCCTACAAGGGTGCCCAGATGATGTCCTGTTTTCCTCCCATTGCATTGTCTGAATTTGAAAATAGATGTTAGTTGTAATTTAGTGTACTATCACTGATGAACATATATTTTAAGGGGAAGAGGTGAGGGAGGGAAGGAAGGAGGGGGCATGGGAAAGTGGTGGGGGGGAGGCAGAGACAAATGTATTTAAAAAAAATAAAAGAGCTGGAAAAAAAAGAACATATATTTTTAAATGCAGCTCAGAAAAATTGCAAAGTGGGAAGGCTCTGGCCTTTGGGTGGCCAGGAAGTGAATCAACATCAATGGATGGGGAAGGCAGCAGGAGAAGGTAACTGGAAGACTCCCAGAGGGGCCGCCAGCAAGGGAGCTGCCCACCCCTTCACCCACCTTAGGGACTAGGATGCTGACATAAAGAGCAGCCTTGCCTCCTCTGAGTAGCTGGCTCTCTGAGGGTTACCAGCGCCAAGGTGTGGAGTGTTCTCTCTCTCTCAAAGATAGCTTGAAAAAAAACCCTGGTAAGTTAATTGAAGATGTCTCATGCTATCACCTATCAACTCTTTGTTATTTTTCAGACATATCTCTTCCTGCAACATTGCACATTTTGTTCTGATTTGGGGAAAATGTGCCCAGCCTTTCTAGTTCTAATAAAAACAACTCAATCTCTACTAAGAGCTTACCAGAATTTCGAGACAGATGTGCTGAACTTGCTCCATAAGATTACATTTCATTTTGTCTCTGTCCCCTTCAGTAGATCTCCCCCATGACAATGTCTTCCATTAAGATTGAGTGTGTCCTGCCTGAGAACTTCCACTGCGGTGAGTCTCCAGTGTGGGAGGAAGCATCCAACTCTCTGCTCTTCGTAGATATCCCTGCCCAAAAGGCTTGCCGGTGGGATTCGCTCAGCAAGCAAGTTCATAGACTGACCGTGGGTAAGGATGAAGGCCAGGTTGAGATCTACCCAGCCAGCCATCTTTTCCCTAGGGAGGGGCAGTCACCTAGAATGCTCCTGGGACCTTCTTGTTAAAGTGTGCTGAATATGCTTTAAAACTTTTGGATTGTCATGCTGCCTGTGTCCTCCCACTTTGACCCAGGAGTAAATTCTGGAGGATCAATACTTCCCTCTTCCTCTGTAGGTAAGGGGCAGCATTCCCCATTTTGTTCTGATAATGAAGCACTGTAGGATCTTAACACCTTCTGATGACAGCATCGAAAGCTGGAGACTGCAATATACCTTTGGTCACACCAAGGGCTTCATTAAAAAAAAAAAAAAAACCCAACAGGTATATCCCTTCTTTGAATGTCAAAAGAAGAGATTTGGGACTTATAAAGCATCAACCAGGACTATGTATTCACTCTACAAAATAGGATTCACAACAGGATTTCCAGTGCCTTTGAGTGTGATTCTCAATGTAAATAATTGTAAATTATTTTTTAATTAATATAAATAACACAAGAGGCAACCACACATTGATGTTTCTCTCCCTCTTTCTTCCTCCCTTCCCCTCTGTCTAAAAATAAATAAAATTTTTTTAAAAAAATAGTGTCCTGCACATTCCCCAGGATCCTCAGTAGCTTAAATCTTCTGAACAGGGCTTTTAGCTGAGAGTGGCTCCCAGAGCACCCACTGAATAGGATTTGTTTCTCATGACTGCTCACCGTGGTATTCAATCTCTCCACTTAAAAAAAAGTTTTCTTATACACAGAAAAAATATTAAACCCAGAAAACTTAAATTTAAAAATACTAAAAATAGTAATATAATGAAGACCTGTGACTGTTTTATCACTGCATCTACATTTCTATTACTTTTATCCTGCTTACTTCCAAAAAGGGTTTGAGAAACTATTTTTTAATTATGCAAATTTTAATTAAAGTTACATTCCAATAAAGTATTTTAATCAAATTAACTTTACTTAATGAAGTAATTACATTAAATAAATATTTATTTTAAATAAATTTTTATTTTTATTTAATTTTTAATTAAATATGGTCCCTTAAAAAAAAGAAAGTGCTGTATTGGAGAGAGAGAGAAAGCTGTCACAAAACCTTGTTGCTGGACCTAAACAGAGTTTGTCTCTGAAATTCCTGGAGGTCAGGCAAATTGAGCATCTCTTGTTCTGTGACAACTGCTCTTGTACCGCCCCCAATTAGGAACCTCACCTGTGAACCTGATGCGATGCCTGCCCCAAAGTGTGGTGGCTGCTGTGTTTCGACTTCTCTGCTAGACTGGGTGCTTCCAGTAGAGTTGGACTTCATTCACTTTCTGTTCCTGTTGTCCAGAACAGCACATGGAGTTTACTATCAACAAACATACTCGGTTATGTAGCCTTCACTGTTCAACAGAAGAGAGCACTCTTCCATTGTCAAAAGAACTGCAGTCCTCTTAGAGATGCTGGGTGGCATGATAGTTTCAGTGTGCTCTTTGGCACTGGGCTGCTTGCTGCATCCTGATCGTTGCTTTTGCCTCTGCAGATGCCCCAATCAGCTCTGTGGCCCTTCGCCAATCGGGAGGCTATGTTGCCACAATTGGAACAAAGTTCTGTGCTTTGAACTGGGAGGATCAGTCAGTCACTGTCCTGGCCACAGTGGATAAAGACAAGAAAAACAATCGATTCAATGACGGGAAGGTGGATCCCGCTGGGAGATACTTTGCTGGTATGGTTCATCTTTAGCACCTACTTACTGAGCTTGGGAGAAAGATTCATTGCTTTAGTGGTAAAAGTGTTGTATATAATTGGTCTTGGGTTCTTTTATCATTACTTGAGTAATTTGTACCTCTTTTAAAAATCCCATGAGAAAAACTTCACAGACAATCCTTTCAGTTTCTGTCTCTAACAGAGACTAAAATTTGTATGGTAGTTTTGTGGTTTAAATAAGGGTTTTTTGTTTGTTTGTTTTGTTTAAATAACTTTTAAATACAGGAGTATTGTTGTTCGTGTTTAAAATAGAAATAATTTCAAATTTACAGAAAAATTAAGATTTGTACAAACACCCAATATACCCTTTACCTGAATTCACCTATTGTCAACATTTTGTTCCATTTGCTCTGTCGACATATATAAATTTTTCTCCAGAATCATTTGAAAGTAAGTTGCGTATGTCATGTGCCTCTACTACTAAAATACATTAGTGTGAATTTCCCAAGAAAAAATGATATATTCTTACATGACCACAGTACAGTTATCAACTTAAAGAAATTTAACATTGATACAATATTTTATTTGACATGCTATCTATATTCCAGTTTTGTCAATTGACTATTTGGTTAATTTTTAATGTCCTTTATAGCATTTTACTCTCCAGTACAGGATCCAGTCTAGGATCATGTACTGCATTAGATTGTCATGTCTCTTGAATCTTCTTTAATCTGGAACAGAATATAACCTGTCTTTGTTTTTTATGGCATTGCCATTTTTTTAATCCTCACCCGAGGATATGCTTATTGATTTGAGAAAGAGAAAAAAACATCGATGTGAGAAATAATCATCGATGTGAGGAACTTTAATCAGTTGCCTCATGTGCACACCCCAACCAGGGATCAAAACCACAGCCTAGGTATGTGACCTGACTGGAACCTTTCAGTATATGGGATAGTGCTCCAACAAAATGAACCACCCAGCCAGGGCTATGGCATTGCCATTTTTAAAGAACACAGTCCCAACCGAACTCTCCCTTTTTTCAGTAGAACTGTCCTCATGTTCCTCGTGTTTTTGTGTTTGTCTAATGTTTCCTTGTGGTTGGATTGATGCTATATATTCATGATTAGAATGCTGTGTAGGTGATATTCTGCCATTCTTGGGGTATCCCTTCTGGATACCATCTGTCCTTAATTGGAAAAGTTAGTTTTGATCACCCAATCACAGTCTTCTCAGATTTCTCTACTGCACAGTTATTGTTTCATTGCAATGTATAAACACTTTGTAGGGTTTATTAGTTATCTATTGCTGTGTAACAAATTACCCTGAAATATAACGGCTTAAAATAACAAACATTTATTACCTCACACCCTTTGTGAAGGCCAAGAATCTGGGTGGTTCTAGTTCAAGATTGTGTCATGAAATTGCAGTTGAGCTGTTGGTTGGGTCTACAGCGCCAGAAGAGAAGAGTCTCTGAAGGAATCTGGAGGATCTGCTTCTAAACTCACTCCTGTGGGGGGTCCCTTACCAAGTGGGCCTTTTCATAAGGCTGCTTAGAACATGGCTTTCCCCATAGCTGGTGATGAGAGAGAGAGGAGGGAAGAAGGGACCAAGATGGAGGCTATTTTTATTATAACCAATGTTGAAAGTGGCATAGCATCACTTCTGTCATGTGCTGTAGGTCACACATGCAATGGTGCAGGGAGCTGTACAAGGGTATGACTATTGGGAGGCAGGAACCATTAGGGGCCATCTTGGTGCTGGCTACAAAATGGGGAGATATTTTATGTCCAAGCAAATACCCTGGTCCTCATCAAAATTTCTCACTTAGGTTTTACATTCTTTGATGATTCTCACTTGAACCAATCTTTACTGTGATGGTTGTAGAATGACTTATATATAGCTTTAAATGAATTTTAACTACAGTTTGAACTTAAATAATGCATTTCATACCTATTTCTCATTTACCTCCCATCATAACAACCCTATAAATTAGCCAAAGTTGATTCTAAATCACTGCTGTTTTCACCTCCTCACACTGCCCCCTCCCATTATCCGTCATGCTGTCCTGGTTCCGTTCACCTTCAACATGGAAAGATAGGTGAGATCTGAGCCGCTGGCTGTGGGTTGCTCCCCATCTTCCTAGTCCAGGACAGGTTGACAGACTAAAGATGAAAATTTGTTGAAAGCCCTTCTGCTGGTGATTTCTGCAGGATAAAGAAATATAATTGCATACTTTATCTCCTGCTGAAATAGATTTTCTTACTCCATTATAGCTAGAAGTTTACAGTTTTGTGGTACTTTGTGAGACAAAATAAAGATGCCCTCAGAGGCCTGGATTTTTAGCCTGGAGCCCCCAGTTCTTAACCTGTACCCTCAGGAGACCCCTCAAAATTGTAGGCATCATTGTGATATATATTGGTTGCATGCATCTGCCAGAAACACCTGAGAACCTTTTTCTAGAGAGTTCATATCTTTCAGCAGGTGCTGAGAGGTGTCCTTGGACCAGAAAAGGGAGGGATAGTCTAGATGGAGTCTCAAGATAATAGGTAGTACTCTGCAGATGTGACCACACCCAAACTCTGATCTGTCTGTGCTCACTGCTGGTTATCAATGTATAAACCAAGGCCCCAGATTGTTCCTTCCCACTAATGAGCTTTTCTGAGCAGTGGGAGGTTCACACTCATGTTCCAGGCATCTCTTTCTGTGAAACAGATAATAGGGAGGAATATTAATGAAGCAAACCCAACTGCCCTATAGCAACAAACTGCCATGTGAGCATCCTTCTCTCCAGCAGGGAGAATTTATCATGTCTTGCTTGCTATTCAGGCTTTCCAGTTTTAGTCCATTATCCTCTAACTCACTCTTCTTTCAGATGAAGCTTGGTAAAGTAAGTGAGCTTTCCAGTTTCTTCCTTAGAGTCAAACTCTGCTCTGTCCACTGAAATCACACTCAAGTCTATCTAAGTGAATATCCCATGCGCACTTGAGATGAATGTGTATTCTACTGTTGTTGAGTGGCGTGTTCTATAAATGTCCTTAGATCCAGTTGGTTGATGCTGTTCAGTTCTTCTATTTCTTTGCTGATTCTCTACTTGAATTTATTACTGAGAGAGGGGTGCTGACATCCACTAGTATTGTGGATTTGTCTATTTCTCCTTTCAGTTCTAACTTTTGTTTTGTGTATTTGAAGCTCTATTGTTCAGCACAAACATTTAGGATTACTGTGTCTCCTTAGTGAATTTTCAGCATGTAGTACTCCAATTTATCTCTGGTAATTTTCTTTCCTGTAAGTATGTTTTGCCTTACATTAACATAACCTTTGTGATATTAACATAGCCTTTCCAGTTTTCTCTTAATTGGTATTTGCATGGTATATACTTTTCCATCCTTTTACTTTTAAGCTACCTATATCATTATATTTGAAGTGAGTTTCTTGTAGTCATATAGTTGGATTTTTTAAAACATTCCTTCTGGCCCTGGCTGGGTAGCTCAGTTGTTTGGAGCGTCATCTTCTACACCAAAAAGTTGCAGGTTCAAACCCCAGTCAGGGCACATACCTAGGTTGTGGGTTTGATCCCCAGTCAGGGCATGTACAATAGGCAACCAATCAATGTTTCTCGTTCACATCAATGCTTCTCTCTCTCCCTTCTTCTCTCTCTAAAATCAATAAACCATATACTCAGGTGAGGATTAAATTTTTAATACCTTCTGACACTCTCTATCTTAATTAATATATTTATATTATTTACATTTAATGTAATTATTTTTGATATGCTTTGACATAGATCCACTATTTTATTATTTGTTTTCTTTTTTTTCCTTCTATTTGTTGTTCCTCTGTTTCCCCTTTCCTGCCTTCTTTTGGGTTATTTGAACACTTTTTAGAATCTAATTTTAATTTCTTTATTGTGATTTTTCACTCCATCTCTTTGTATAGTTTTTTTAAGGATTGCTGAAGGGATTGCAAAAATATATAATGAATTTTTCAGTCTATCTAGAACCAATATTTTACCTCTTCAGTTGGTAATCATCTCTTTATGCTATAGTTGTCTTTATATACATACATTGAAAATTCCATCAGAAAATGTAGTTTTTGCCAAAAATGTAGTTTTTACTTTCAACAATCAGAAATATTTTAAAGAGCTAAAGAGGAAAATAGTCTATTATAGTTACTCATATATTTACTATTTCTATTGTTCTACTTTCATCTCTCATATTCCATGCTTCCTTTTTGTATATTTCCCTTCTGTCTGAAGAATTTTCTTCAGCAATTCTTATAAAGCAGGTCTATTGCCTGTGAATTCTCTTAGTCATACTTTATATAAGAATGTCTTTATTTCACCCTCATTCTTGAAGGATATTTTCACTGAATATAGAATTTTAGGTTGACACTTTTTTTCTTTCAGCAAATTAAAAATGTGTCACTTCCTTCTGACCTCCATGTTTTCTCATTAAAAACTTGTCATTGAAATCATTATACGTCTATATTTATTGTGTCATTTTTTTCATTGATCTCAAGGATTTATATTTTAGTTTTCAGAAATTTGATTATGATGTATCTGGGTATAGGTTTCTATGGTCTTAATCCTGTTTTGGGTTTGCTCAGCTTCTTGGATCTATAGTTTTGTGCTTTGCACCAAATTGAGGAATTTTGAGCCACTATTTCTTCAAATATTTTTGGCCTTGTATTCTTTCTCCTCTTCTCTAGGAATCTGGTGGCACATATGTTAGACTTTTTGTTGTTTTCCCATGGGTCCCTAAAGTTCTGTTCATTTTTTTCAACCTTTATTATCTCTGTTGTTCAGATTGGACAATTTCTATTGGTCTACCATCAGGTACACTGACTCATCTGTCATCTCTTTTCTGCTATTGGGTCCATCCATTGAGATTTTTTTAGTTCAGTTATTTTATTTTTCGTTTCTAAAATTTTCATTTGATTAGTCTTTATATCTTCTATTTCTTTGGTGATATTTTCTGTTTTGAGTGTTGTTTCAAGACTGTTTACAAATTGCTCGTAAGAGCTGCTTTAATCTTTGTCAAATAATTCCAATATCTGTACCATTTTGTTTTCTGCATCTGTTGCTTCTTTTTCTATATGAGTTAAGATTTTCATGCTTCTTTGTGTTGCCAAGTAATTTTGGATTATATCCTGGACATTTTGACTATTATGAGACCCTGAGTCTTGTTTAAATCCTATGGAGAATGTTTATATATTTATTTTAGTAAGTAACCTGCATGTTTAGACACAGACCACAAGTTCCAACCTGCTTTCTCTTAGGTGCCATTAGGAATTGTCCCACATGCATGCCTACTCAGTGGTCAGTATGAGGCATAGAAGGAATTCTATCCACAGCACCACTCTCAGTCCTTGGTATGCTAATCAGAATCACATCCATACATGTACAGATAGAAGATGAGCCCAGGAGATCATAGACAGTTTTGTGGGGTTGCATTCCTGTGCAGCATCCCTCTTTGCTATCTCCAGGAACTTTCTGGTTTGCTTGAGTTCTCCTTTCGTTCCTCCATCCAGAAACCACCCATACCTATGATTGTGCTGACTCCAGGGCCAACTAAGTGGCAGGGGGACAGAGAGAGACAGAACATAAAAGCAACAGTGTTTGGCTCTGCCCTTTTGGAGCTGTAGCTTCACTAAATGAAGAGGAATGTCCCGTTCCCTCAGTTTTGATTCCTGTAGTTTCCTGTTGCTGGACACTCTCTACTCTTGCTACCCCCTGCTGCAGAATTGTCTCAGGATCGATGAATAATAGAATGGAGAAAAGAGCGTGGAAAATAACCAGGGGATTTCTTCTTTTTTCTCTGAACTTCAGGAGTTTCCTGTTCTTCTCCCTTGAACCAGATCTAGATAGTTTCTCTTTGATCTCTGTCTGTCTGCACCACAGTATTCACTTGCAAGTTTCAGGCTGTACTGAGTTCAGGCTAGGACACACTTGGAGGATAAAATGGAGAACTCACCACCAACTAGGTAGTAGTCCAAATTCTGATGTTCTTCCCTGAGCTTCCTAATATTTGCTTTTCAAAGTTCTCAAACAGCTATGCCATGCATTTTGTTCAGTTTGTATAGTTGTGTAGTTGTGCTCAATGTGAGAAAATGAGGTTGGTGCAAATGTACTCCTTTTCTGGAACTAGAACCTGTGTAGTTTTGATTTGCATTTTAAGCAAGGTAGTTGTCATTTAAAAAAAATAGGACTTGGTCCTGGCTGGTGTGGTTCAGTGGATTGAGTGCCAGCCTGCAAACCAAAGGGTTGCTGGTTCGATTCCCAGTCAGGGTACATGCCTGGGTTGCAGGCCAAGTCCCCAGTAGGGATTGCACAAGAGGCAACCGTACATTGATGTTTCTCTCCCTCTCTCTCTCCCTCCTGTCCCCTCTCTCTAAAAGTAAATAAATAAAATCTTTTTTTAAAAAATAAAACTAAAAAATATAGAACCCTGGGGGGTGGGTAGATTAGGGGATGCAGGGATCAAGCAAAAAGAAAAAAAAGGACTCATGGACATGGACAGCAGTTTGGTGATTGCTGGGGGAGGGAGATATAACAGAACTAAATGGTAATGGGAATAATACAATAAAGATTAAATTTAAAAAATACAGGACCCGGGTTGGGATTGTATAAATTCTTTAATTTAATCATGGGAAGGAACCCTGGTGAGAAAAGGTGATGTTGCCATGGACAAGATGATGTGGGGCTAAGCTCAGTGGTCTTTGGTTTTTGTAGGTACCATGGCTGAAGAAACAGCCCCAGGAGTTCTAGAACGGCACCAAGGGTCCCTGTACTCCCTCTTTCCTGACCACCACGTGGAAAAGTACTTCGACCAGGTGGACATCTCCAATGGTTTGGATTGGTCCTTGGACCACAGAATCTTCTATTACATCGACAGCCTGTCCTACTCCGTGGATGCCTTTGACTATGACCTGCAGACAGGAAAGATCTGTATGTACTTTTTCATTACTTTTCTTAATACTGCTCATATTTTTCATATGTATCTCCTTAGTAAGCTGCCTGTTTCTCCACTCATGTGAAAAGGTCCTAACTTTGTCAAATAGAGAGTTTTCCAATATTATTATCCCAGTACAGTAATGATTACACAGACTTGACTATGATGCCAGTCAAGCCATGGCTCTTAACACAGCTAAATGTGGCCACAGTTGGCACAATATAGATAGATCTTTAATCCTCTTTCTTGCCACCATCACTAGGAAGAGGATCACTGTAACTATATCTTGTTCTACCAGGAGGTGCCTAAAGGCAAATACTATACAGTAGAATGGGATAGAGGAACAGAAAGTTAGAGTGTTGGGTTGATCTCTTATTTGCACTTAACTATACGCACGTGCTCTGAGAAAAATTAACAATTTTCAAAATGGAAAAGTAAAAAAAGTAGTTACAGATTGTTCAAGTCGATCAATGGGCTCTAAAAGAGCCATAGTTGGACACTGGAAGAGAAGGAATCATTGAGAAGAATTTAGAAAGGAGTACTTAAAACTGTTTCATGAAAGGTGCCAAACTGCAAGAGCAAAACCGATAATTAAAAGACTTGAAAAAAAAATGCAAGAATCTTGTGTAGATTTAATCAGAGATAAAGCATTCCAGTACATCTGTTTTGCTTTGAAATATGTAGTGCTCTTGATTCAGAACCATCAGAAATCGAGTTGAATGGAAGTCTGACAACTATGGAATTAAACCACATCTATCCAGACTGGTAGGAGGGGCAGAGATGCTGAAGGGGCTGGTCCCACATCCACTTGTGGGTAAGAATTTGGGAGGGATACCTCAGGAGCAGGGAGTCCCAGCCCCAAACCAGGACCGCAGCCCAGGGATCCAGTGCCAGGAAGATAAATCCCCGTAACTTCTGGCTGCAACAACCAGCTGGGATTGAATCAGTGGAAGAAACTTCTAGAGTCCCAAGGAGTTCCTCTTAAAGAACCCACACAGGAACTTGCTCAGACTCACTCCCTCTGAGCTCCAGCACTGGGGTAGCAGCTTGAAAGGCACCAGTGGCATGCAGGGAGAATCTGAAGTATCTGGCATCAAGGCAAGAGCTGGGGTACAGGCAGAAAGGCAGGCAGAGCCACGGAGCTGGCAGGTGGGTGCCATATCTGAAGGTTCTATCAACCTGGCTAAGGCTCCTGCTTCACAACTTCCTAAATCCTTTCAAACAAGCAACAGCTGGCCTCAGCGAGTCCCCAGCTCCCATACCTCTTGATAAGTGGCCCCAGGCCCAGCAGTAGCAACAGCCAGCCTAGATTCACAGTTTGCCTTCACCTGGGAATCTCCAGGCCTAGCACAAGTAGCAGCCCTCTCAGATTACTTTATAGCTCAGGCAGGGTGGCCCTGGGCAGAACGCAGGTTCGGGACTGCCCTTGGCCGGCACCACCCAGGAAACCCTAGGGCCTATGCACCACGTGGGCAGCTACAGAGCACGTTTGAGCACCATCACCCTGCCCCTGCGCAGCTGATCCTCCATGGAGGGCTGATGTTGGTGTCAGTGGTCACAGCCAATCCTTGCAGCTGGCTGGCCTGGCTAAATCCCTCCCGTTGACCTGCAAACAGCAACCAGGGCTCAACTACAAGAGGAGGGCGTACTAAGCCCACACAAAGGGTGCAACTTGAGTACCCAGCTTGGGTGTTAGGGGAGGCTGTGCCACTGGACCCTACAGGACACCTACTACATTAGGCCACGCTACCAAGACATGGAGTCAAAGCAGCTCTACCTAATGCATAGAAACAAACATAGGGATGCTGCCAAAACAAGGGGACAAAGAAACGTGGCCCAAATGAAAGAACAGATCAAAACTCCTAAACGAAAAAGACCTAAATGAACTGGAGATAAGCAATCTATCAGATGCAGAGTTCAAAACACTGGTTATAAGGATGCTCAAGGAAATTAGTGAGGACCTCAGCAGCATAAAAAAGATCCAATCAGAAACAAAGGATACACCAATTGAAATAAAGAACAATTTACAGGGAAACAACAGTACAGTAGATGAAGCCGAGAATCAAATCAATGATTTGGAACATAAGGAAGCAGAAAGCAACCAGTGAGAACAACAAGAAGGAAAAGGTATCCAAAATAAATGATAGTGTAAGCAGCCTCTGAGACAACCTCAGGTGGTCCAGCCTTTGCACCATAGGGCTGCCAGAAGGAAAAGAGAAAGAGCAAGAAACTGGAAATCTATTTGAAAAAATAATGAAATTAAACTTCCCTAAGTTGGTGAAGGAAATAGACATGCAAGTCCAGGAAGCACAGAGAGTCCCAAATAAGTTTCATGCAAAGAGACACATCATAATTAAAATGCCAAAGGTTCAAGATAAAGAGAGAATCTTAAATGCAGCAAGAAAAAAGAAGTTAGTTATCTACAGGGGAGTTCCCACTAGACTGTCAGCTGATTTCTCAAAAGAAACTTTGCAGGCTAAAAGAGATTTGCAAAAAATATTCAAAGTCCTGAAAAGCAGGGACCTACAACCAAGATTACTCTATCCAGTAAAGCTATCATTTAGAATCAAAAGGCAGATAAAGAGCTTCCCAGACAAGAAAAAAACTAAAGGAGTTCATCATCATCAAACCATTATTATATGAAATGTTAAAGTGACTTATTTAAGAAAAAAAAGATGATCAAAACTATTAACAATAAAATGACAATAAACACATATCTATCAACAATTGAATCTAGGCCTTGCAGATGCCAGCACCACTCCGCATCTTCCTGTGCCCAGCCATGGTCATCATGACTGCAGACTTCAAGCCCTTGGGCCACATCTCCTTCGACCTTTTTGCAGACAGAGTTCCAAAAGACAGCAGAACACTTTTGTGCTCTGAGCACTAGCAAGAAAGGATTTGGTTATAAAGGTTCTTGCTTTCACAGAATTATTCCAGGATTTCTGTACCAGGGTGGTGACTTCACATGCCACAATGGCACAGGCAGCAAGTCCATCTTCGGGTAGAAATTTGATGATGAGAATTTCATCCTGAAACTCACATCTCCTGGCATATTGTCCATGGCAAATGCTGGCCCCAACACAAATGGTTCACAGTTTTTCATCTGCACTGCCAAGGCTGAGTGGCTGGATGGCAAGCATGTGGCCTTCGGCCAGCTGAAAGACGGCACGGGTGTTGTGACAGCCATGGAGCGCTGGGGGTCCAGGAATGGCAAGACCAGCAAGAAGGTCACCATTACTGACTGTGGACAACTCTAATACATTTGACTTGTGTTTTTAAAAAAACGATTGAATCTAAAAATCAAACTAAGCAAAGAAGAAGAACAGAGACATAATCATGGATATGGAGAACATTTTGATGGTTGCCAGATGGGAGGGGGTGGAAGAGAATGGGTGAAGAGATGAGTGATTAAGAAGTACAAATAGGTAGTTACAGAATAGCCATGGGGATGCAAAGTACAGTATAGGAATGCATGACCCATGAACATGAAAAATGGTGTGGGATTGCCTGAGGGAATGGGGGCTGTTTGGTGGAGGGGGCCAAAGGGGGGAAAATTTGGACAACTGTAATAGCATAATCAATAAAATATAATTTAAAGAAATATGTATTGCTCTTTTTATTACTGTTTTTACCCATTCTACTTATACACGGTTTTAACATTTTTCCTATTGTACCTAAATTTTATTACTGTTAATGACCTGCATTTTGTAGTGTAAAGTTCCTCTGGGTTTTGATGTTTGCTTTGTGTATACTATGATTCTCCCTTTAAGGTCAGTTAGTTGGGTTCAGAACATCCCTCCTTTCAGAAAGAAACATTTCCAATATTTAGTTTTGATAAGGTGATTATGGGGCATTCAGCAGGATAAAAACAGAACTCATAAAACAGCAGAGATCTAACCATAGACTGAAGTATATTTGAGGTGGGCATGCAGGGCTTCAGTTCAGGTCAGCCTCAAAAAGATCTATTGTTATTTTATTAAGAATTGTGCTTCTTTTTTTCTTTCCTCTGAAACCTCAGACAGACATGTTTGTACCCAAGCTAAAAGGAATGAATCCACCCCAAATCATGTGGTAAAAATCCTTTGTTGAGGGGTGCCCATTCACATTTCTGGACATTGTTTAGAGTTAGGAATCCTTCTCAGCCATCCCACCTGTGGTGCCCATACACCAGACCCTGGATAAGCAGAATTGATCAGTATTTATAATCAGCTCGATTGCTCATATTCTGATGCTAAGTATTGAGTGACCTGTTGTTTTCGGACATGTGAGTGTATTTAAAGATTTTATTTATTTTTAGAGAGGGGGGAAGGGAGGGAGAAAGAGAGGACAAGAAACATCAATATGAGAGAGAAACATCTATCTCTTGACTCTCATATGTGCCCTCATCAGAGATCGAGCCCACAACCCAGGCATATGTCCTGACTGGGAATTGAACTGGAATGACACCCAACCAACTGAGCCACACCAGTCAGAGCTGTTTTTTTGGTTGTTGTTGTTGTTGTCGTTCTCTTAACCATAGCCAACCGCAGAAGTGTTTACAAGCTGGAGAAAGAAGAACAAATCCCAGATGGAATGTGTATCGACGACGAGGGGAAGCTCTGGGTGGCCTGTTACAATGGAGGAAGAGTGATTCGTTTAGATCCTCAGACAGGTATGCCCATGGGCACAGTGGAAAATCTCCATAATGTCTAGAAAACACCAGACACTAAGGACTGGAGAAATTTTATTATTAATAAAGTTAGACAGCAATATATTCAAAGGCCTTGACTGGATGACTTTAGAAATAAACGCCAAAAATACAGCCCCAAATTTATAGTCAGAACCCCTTTTCCTATGCATGTAAGTCCTTTTGCTCAAAAATAAATAAATTATCAGGGAAGATAGGTTAAACACATGGTTGAAGTCTGACCTCCACCATCTTCTTTAGGCTTCTTTATTGCTCTGCAAGGGGTCCTGAAAGCTTTCACAGGTTGGAAATTTGCTAGAAGTAGACTTTAAATAAAATTTTTGGTGATCTAGGGAAAAGACTCCAAACTGTGACATTGCCTGTTGATAAAACAACCTCATGCTGCTTTGGAGGGAAGTTTTACTCTGAAATGTATGTGACCTGTGCCTTGGATGGAATGGATTTTGAGGATCATTTGCGGCAACCTAAAGCTGGTGGAATTTTCAAGGTGATCTGGCTACTTCTTTTAAGGGTGAAGTGGGAGATCCTTGGATAAGTAATCGAGTGATCAGTGCTTTTTCAAACTTCCAAAGCACAATTCCATTTAGCATTGTATGCTCATCATGGTAGACTTAAAAACATCTTATTTAGATTTTCTAGACTGAAAATTATCTGAAGTCCAGGACTATATTTTTAGACTCCTTTGTACAGTTCTTAAAAATATATATATATTTTTTACTTCAGTGGTGTTTGCTGAAATTCTATAAATCAGTAGAATAGGCTTGGAAAACCAGTATTTGAAACATGTTTATAAAGTTAGTTGATTGTTTTGATGTCACAGGAATATTACTGGGTTTTTAACTTTTATTCAATGAAACAAACACCTATAAAAGTTATAAACCTTTTGAGCTGAAAAGAAACATAGAAATCATTTGGTTCAGATCCCTTTTTTAACAGCTGAGAATATAATAGAAATAAATTCAGTTTTAAATCTAAGTTAGTTGTAAATGATTATTACCTGTGTGAATAATTGTACTAGATCATAAATACCTAATCAAGTAATTCCTTTGTATGATAGGAAATAAAACAAGAATAATAGGTGGCTAAATATATAATATGAATCATGAAAATGCTTTTGAACAATACTTGTGAATTACTTTTTATCACAGTTTCTCTTTTTTTTTAACAGATAACTGGCCTGGGGGTCAAAGGAATTGCTCCCTATCCTTATGTAGGATAAGTGACAGGCCTTTCCTACTGGAGAAAACTTTGAAGACAACTAAAAAATTCTGGAGCTCAAATTTCAATCTAGTTACCAAAAAACAAAGCAATGATATAACAGAATTAAATTTTTATTTTCTATTTTTAAAATGTAGAGATTTTTAACAAGGGGTGGCAGGTGGGTTTGATAACATACTATAAGGCCTTCTGCAAAGGTACTATAGAAATGTCAAGAATTGTTCTACCGTCAACCAACCTCTTAAATCTGAAAATTGCTGGTGGACAGGGGGAGAGACAAGAGACTGTATCTGTTCTATATTCTGCATTCCATACTTACTATACCTAAAGCTTCAAACAAACTAATAAATAGTAATATGGTAAAGTCTTATAATAATTATGTTCCTTGTTATTTTAATCATAATCATAAAATGTGCTGCAATGGTAACCTACCTTCATATTACTCTTCCTAATATATATATTTTTCTGAATATTTAATTTACTTCTATTACCGTTTAGTCCCCTTATACCTGCTCCCCTCTGCAATCACCACCCTTGTTATCTGTGTCCATGAGTCCTTTTTCCTTATTACTCAATCCCTCCACACCCTAGTCTCCCCTACTCCTTTTCATCCTGCCCTGTGTCCAAGATTCTGTCTTGTATTTTGCTTGTTAGTTCAGTTTGTTCATTAGATTTCATATATAAGTGAAATCATATGGTATCTGTCTTTCTCTGGCTAGTGTATTTCACTTAGCATAATGTTCTCCAGGTCCATCCATACTGTCACAAAGGGAAGAACTTTCTTCTTTTTTATAGCCAGGAAGTATTCCATTGGATAAGTGTCCTGTGGTTGTTTTATCCATTCATCTACTGATGGATGCTTGGGCTGCTTCTGTATCTTGGCAATTGTAAATAATGCTGCAATGAACACAGAGGTGCTTATGTTCTTTCGAATTAGTGTTTTAGGTTCTTTCGGAGATATTCCCAGAAGTGGGATTGCTGGGTCAAAAAGCAGATCCATTTTTAATTTTCTGAGGTATCTCCATACAGCTTTCCTAAGTGGCTGCACCAGTCTGCATTCCCACCAACAGTGCAAAAGGGTTCCGCTTTCTCCACATCCTCACCAGGACTTGTTGTTTGTTGATTTATTGATGATAGCCATTCAGATAGGTGTGAGAGGGTCTCTCATTGTGGTTTTAATTTGCATTTCTCTGATGATTAATGATATTGAGCATCTTTTCATATGTCTATTGGCTGTCTCTGTGTCCTCTTTGGAAAAGTGTCTATTCAGGTCCTTTGCCCATTTTTTAATTGGGTTGTTTGTTTTTAGGGTTTTGAGTTTTCTAAGTTCTTTGTCAATTTTGGATATTAACCTTTTATCAGATGTATTGGAGAATATATTCTCCCATTCTGTGTGTTGTCTTTTCATTTTGTTGATGTTTTCCTTTGCTGTACAAAAACTTTTTAGTTTGATATAGTCTCATTTGTTTATTTTTTCTTTTGTTTCCCTTGCCTGGGGAGATATACCTGATAAAATATTGCTATGAGAAATGTCTGAGATTTTGCTGACCATGTTTTCTTCTACAATTTTTATGGTTTTGGATCTAATATTTAAGTCTTTAATCCATTTTAAATTTATTCTTGTGTGTGGCATTAAAAGGTGGTCTAGTTTCATTTTCCTGCATATACCTGTCTAATTTCCCCAATACCATTTATTGAATAGACTATCTTTAGCCCATTGTACAAGTATGTGATTGCTTTCTCTATTGAATATTAATTGACTATAAATGTATGTGTTTATTTCTGGACTCTCTATTCTGTTCAATTGATCTATGTGTCTGTTTTTACGCCAGTACCATACTGTTTTGATTACTATAGCCTTATAGTATAGTTTGATATTAGGTAACATGATTCCTCCAACTTTGTTCTTTTTTCTCAGGATTGCTGTTGCTGTGTGGGGCCTTTTGTGGTTCCATATAAATTTTTGAAGTATTTGTTCTAGTTCTGTGAAATACATCATTGGAATCTTAAGAGGAATTGCATTAAATCTATAGGTTGCTTTGTATAGTATGGATATTTTAATGATGTTAATGCTTCCTATCCATGAACATGGTATGTACTTCCATTTATTTGTATCTTCTTCAGTTTCTTTCTTCAGTGTCTTATAATTTTCCGAGTACATGTCTTTTACATCCTTGGTTACATTTATTCCTAGGTATTTTATTCTTTTAAAGCAATTGTGAATGCGATTTTTTTTTTAAATTTCTCTGTTCATTAAGGCAAATAAATATACAACTGATTTCTGGATATTAATCTTGTATCCTGCTACTTTGCCGAATTCACTTATCCATTCCAGTAGTTTCTTGGTGGAATCTTTGTGGTTCTTTATGTACAATATCATGTCATCTGCAAATAAAGACAGTTTTACTACTTCCTTTCCAATTTGGATGCCTTTTATTTCTTCTTCTTGTCTGATTGCTTTGGCTAGTACTTCCAGTACTATGTTGAATAAGAGAGGTGAAAGTGGCCTTGGCTGCTGTGGCTCAGTGGCCTGAGAACCAAAAGGTGACAGGTTCAAGTCCCAATCAGGGCACATACCTGGGTTGCAAACCAGGTCCCCAGTTGGGAGTGTGTGAGAGGCCACACATTGATGTTTTTCTCCCTCTCTTCCTCCCTTCCCCTCTCTCTAAAAATGAAAAAATAAAATATTTTTTTCAAAAAGGGAGAGAAGTGAAAGTGGACATCCCTGCCTTGTTCCCGATCTTAAGAGGAACACTTGTAGTTTTTGCCCGTTGATTATAATGCTGGCAGTGGGTTTGTCATGTATGGCCTTTATTATATTTAAGTATGTTCCCTCTATTCTCACTTTGCTGAGAATTTGTATCCTAAATGGGTGCAGGATTTTATCAAATGCTTTCTCTGCATCTATTGATATGATCATGTGGTTTTTAAAAGAAGATTTTATTTATTTATTTTTAAAGAGAGTGGAAGGTAGGGAGAAAGAGAGGAAGAGAAACATCAGTGTGTGAAAGATACATTGATCTTTGCCACTTGCATATCCCTAACTGGGGACCTGGCCCCCACACAGACATGTGCCCTGACTGGGAATTGAACCAGTGACACTTTGGCTCACAGGGCAGCACTCAATCCACTGAACCACAGCAACCAGGGCTCATCATGTGGTTTTTATTCTTCATTTTGTTTATGTGATGAATCACATTTATTGATTTACAATGTTGTACCAAACTTACATTCCAGGAATAAATGCCACTTGATCATGGTGTATGATCTTTCTGATGCATTGTTGTATTCAGTTTCCTAATATTTTTTTGAGAATTTTAGTGTCTATGTTCATCAGGGATATTGGCCTATTATTTTCTTTTTTTGTAGTATCTTTATCCGGTTTGGAATTAGGATAATGCTGGCCTCATAAAATGAGCTTGGGAGCCTTCCCTTCTCTTGAATTTTATGAATTAGTTTGAGAAGGAGAGATGTTAGTTCTCGGAATGTTTCGTAGAATTCACCTGTGAAGCTATCTGGTCCAGGTCTTTTATCTATGGGGAGTTTTTTGATTACTGCTTCAATTTCACTAAGTGTAATCTGTCTATTCAGATGCTCTGATTATTTCTGATTTAGTTTTGGAAGATTGTATGTTTCTAGGAATTTATCTGTTTCGTCCAAGTTGTCCAGTTCATTGGTATATAGTTGTTCATAATATTTTCTAACAATTCTTTGTATTTCTTTGGTGTCAGTTGTTATTTCTCCTCTTTCATTTCTGATTTTATTTATTTGGGTTCTCTCTGTTATTTTCTTGGTGAGTCTGGTTAAAGGTTTGTCAATCTTGTTTATCTTTTCAAAGAACCAGCTCTTGGATTCATTGATCTTTTGTATTGCTTTTTAGACTGTATTTCATTTATTTCAGTTCTGATCTTTATTAGTTCCTTCCTTCTGCTCACATTGGTTTTTGTTTGTTGTTCTTTTTCAAGTTCCTTTAAGTGTAAGATTAGATTGCTTACTTGAGCTTTTTTGTGTTGTTGTTGTTGTTGTTGTTGTTGTTTTGAGATAGGCCTGTAATGCTATAAATTTCCCTTTTAGGATTGCTTTCCCTGTGTCCCACAGATTTTGGATTGTTATGTTCTCATGTTCATTTGTTTCATGGTATCTTTTGACTTCTCTTGATATCATTGTTGAGCCATTCATTGTTTAATAACATGTTATTTAGCTTCCATGTCTTTGTGTGTTTTTCAGTGTTCTTCTTGTGATTGATTTCTAGTTTCATAGCTCTGTGGTCAGAGAAGATGCTTGATAGGAATTCAATCATCTTAAATTTATTGAGACTTGTTTTTTCCCTAATGTGGTCTATCCTAGAAAATGTTCCATGTAAACTTGAAAAGTATGTATTGGAGATCTCTCCAGAAGGTATCCAGCCATGTAATATGAAAAAGAGACATTTATTGAAGATACAAGATAGAAGAAACATTGTGCATAGGACAATGATGCCTCAGTCCCCTTCAAAGTAGGCATATTGGAATCTCACACAGTTCTCCCAATTACAATCAGCTGCCCTGTCATATTTCCCAGAATCTCATCAATGGTCTGAAATCTCTTCCCTTTCAAAGGTGATCTTATTTTGAGAAAAGACAGAAGTTGCAGGGCACCAAATCTAGGCTGTAAAGGAGTTGTCATCTGGGTGATTTGATGTTTAGTCAAAAAACTCTGTACAAGACGTGATACATGAGTGGGCGTGTTCTTGTGATGAAGCTGCAAATCACCTTTTGCCCATAGTTGCAGCCTTCTGAACCATCTGAATAGTTTCCACAGAGGAATGTTCAAGCTCAATGCAAAATTTAATGTATACTCGTTGCTCTACTCGCTCTGTCATTTTGAATGTGAACACCACACAGTACACATGCTTACTCAATAGAGTCTATGGCCCCCACTGTTAGTACAGTGAATCATCTTTGTTCATGCATGCACATTCCAGCCCACTTTCCTTGGCTGCCAGATTACACTGATATCGTGCAAACCATTTTCATTATATTAACAATTGCTGAGCTTTTTCCAGACAGACCTCTTTGTATTCAGCTGCTTTGGGGTGCAGTGCTCTGAAGATATCACTTAAATCCATTTGATTTAGTGTGTCGTTTAAGACCACTATCTCCTTGTTGATTTCTGTCTGGAAGATCTATCCATTGAAGTGAATGAGATGTTAAAATTCCCAACTATGACTGTATTTCTTTTTTAAATTATATTTTATTGATTACACTCTTATAGTTGTCCCAATTTTTCCTAATTTGCCACTCTCCACCCAGCACCCCCCATTCCTTCAGGCTATCCCCACACATTGTTCATGTCTATGGGTCATGTGTACAAGTTCTTGGGCTACTGCATTTCCTATACTGTACTTTATATGCTCATGACTATTCTGTGACTACCAATTGTACTTCTTAATATCCTCATCTCTTTATTTATTCCCCCACACCACTCTCCCATTTGGCAACCGTCAAAACCCTCTTTGTATCTATGATTCTGTCTCTGTTATTCTTGTTTCCTTAGGTTGATTTTTAGATTCAATTGTTGATAGATATGTGTTTATTGCCATTTTATTATTCATAGTTTTGATCATCTTCTTTTTCTTAAATAAGTCACTTTAACATTTCATATAATAATGGTTTGGTGATGATGAACTCCTTTAGTTTTTTCTTGTCTGGGAAACACTTTATCTGCCCTTCAATTCTAAATGATAGCTTTGCTGGGTAGAGCAATATTGACTATAGGTCCCTGCCTTTCATGACTTTGAATATTTCCTGTGAATCCCTTCTAGCACACAGAGTTTCTTTTGAAAAATCAGCTGACAGTCTTATAGGAACTCCCCTGTATATAACTAACTTCTTTGCTCTTGCTGCTTTTAAGATTCTCTCTTTACTATGGTACATTTACACGATGGAATACTACTCAGCAGAAAGAAAGAAAGAGCTACTATCCTGCATAACAGCATGGATGGAACTGGAGAGCATTATGCTAAGAGAAATAAGCCAGGGGTTAAAAGACAAATACCATATGATCTCACCTATAAGTGAAACCTAACCAACAAAACAAACAAGCAAAAAAAATATAACCAGCAACATTGAAAGGAAAAACAAACCGACAGTAATGAGAGGGGAGGATGGAGGAGGGTAACAGGGAAGAGATGGAGAAGGGTCAAGTCAAGGAACATGTA